TTAACATTCCGGCGGTTACAAAAGATAGTTTTCTGTAATATATAGATGCTGGTCAGTCTAGTCAGTCGTTGTTATCGTTGGCAACGCCAATTGGGGCTTTGTAACCGCTAAAGCGGTTTTCGGCCGAGCTCCTCCTCCAATTAGTAGTTTTGCGTCTTGATGTTTTTCCAACAAATGGAGGGACCTACAGTTTCTACTAAGCCGTATCCGAACAACTGATGGCTTTGTTACGAGGAGCCTTTATTTCAAGTCAGAAATACACTTGGAGGAGCTAACATTCCCTGCCGAGAGGCGACCGCAATTAGACGGGATTATAGCCGAATCAATTATAGCGCGACATTCATTCTTTCTGTTTGCCAGTTGGAAATACGAAGTGAAGCCTTGTCGCCCTCACCTGACCCTTTCAACGGACTAAATGTCTTTCCCCTCTTCTGCTTCCACCAGCGGTTACTACATCGAATACTTTCAAAGCTGGAGTGCTTTCATGGATTCGGACGACATGACCTAGCCAGCGTAGCCGCTGTCTCTTCATTCGCTGTACCATGTCAATATCATTGTATAGCTCGTACAGCTCATAATTCTATCGTCTACGGTATTCGCCGTTGTCACTGCGTAAAGGGTCAGAAATCATTCGCAAACTTTGCTCTCGACGACTCCCAATGCAGACTCATTAGATGTCGACATCGTCCACGCTTCTGCGCCATATAGTCAGACGGGTATAATGGGCGATTTGTAGAGTTTGATTCTCGATCCTGGCGAAGCTTTAGTGTTGTTAAACGACAGTTTCTATAGCCGTATAAGTTTTGCGGAGATACAAAATTCAGATATAGCGGTGTAAAGAGCTGCCTGTATCAGTGCTATCGAAGGCGGCTTTAAAATCGACGAAAAGGTTTTGGTGTGTCGCTCTCCTTTTCACTGGCCTTTCCAAGATTTGGCGTATGGTGAATATCTGATCAATGGTTGATTTACCAAGTCTAAAGCCACACTGATTAGGTCCAATCAGTTTGCTGACAGTGGGCTTTAGTATTTCACACAATACGGTCGATGGAACCTTATATGCGATGTTAAGGAGGTTTAACCCATGTTAATGGGCGCATAATGTCGGATTGCCCTTTTTGTGATTTAGGAAGAGTACACTTAGGCTCCAATCTTTAAGCATGTGGGCAATCGCTATTCGAACCTCGACATGGTCGGGTAGTGGAAGTGTGAATATGTCTTATATGCTTATAAGTAAGATATTGGACACTAGTTATAGTTAATCGGCCTCAAACAGGCATCAGCTCATCATTTCAGGAAAGGTTGCTACCAGTAAATACGAAATACGAAATATCTGCGTGGCAACACATTGAATTTGAAGAAATAAAAAGAACCCCTGCTGAGGTACTTCACACCTTTTGAGAAATTCTTGCTTCTAACCACTTTCACTCTCACTTAACTACACAAAATTCACACACTTATAAATAGACAACCGTACGAAATAACAATTTTCTTATTAAATATTCTTGCTGCGATCTCAAATCGCATTCAATTGCTGCATTCACCCAATTTTCAAATAAATTTCAACAAATGGTTCACATCAAAAATGCATTACACGTATTAAAAATAATGTAAAGCAATAAACAATTCATATACATAAACGATAGGAGCAATTAGAATCATATAATGGCGCTATATCAATAAAAATAATATAGAATAAAAAATATTTGCTTATTTTCTAGGAATGCGCCAAGGCAATTTTCATTCTAAATTATGAATATTAAATTAAATAATACGTTTTTTAATGATTACAATGAATTTATATTAGAGGAATGAAGTCTTGTACCTCATATAGGTTAATATGTATTAGTATACATATGTATGTGCATTGACTTAAATGGATTAAAATAAGTCAAGCCGGGTTTTCCAATGATAGCTGTTCGGAACTAGCTTTTAGAAAACCAGATCGAAATTATCATATTTAATGCAAAATCTGGACTTTACGTATAATTCCTATAAAAAGGAAAAAATATTTGAAAGAGAAAATATAATGATTACTAAATATGATTAAATACATTAAAGAAAAATTATTTTAATAATTCTAATTATTTAATTATTCCGCTGTAGAATTTGCTTCATTTCTCCAGAAAAATTATTCCATAAAAATTATAGGAATGTAAACTTCCGTTATTTTGCATTGAGATACCAACTTTCTAGCAGTCTTGTGAATGCGGCACAAAAATATCTTTCAACGGCTGTAAAATATCCTTGAAAGTATGCCCGCATTCAAACTTTGCACTGCCTTATCTACCACGTAGGTTTGAGTGCAAGCTTTAGGATATTTACGGAGCTTGTGAAATTTCACAGATTATATTTTATAATTCCCAAGGTAATTTTTATAGTTAAGGATTTTTTCAAAAGAGAGATAATTCCGATGCGAAAATGAATTTAAAATGAACTCAGCGCTGCGCACTAAATTAAGAAAAATCTCTCCAAAATAGTATAACGGTAAGATCTGCTTAGCCGACATGGTTGGAGTATAAATGAAGGCAAAGGAGTTTATACTCGGACAAGGATATTTTTTTTTGTTCTGCAGAGAGAGGAGTTGCAACGAAGAAGAAAGAATATGAAATATGTACATACACGTATGTATATATGTATAAAACTTGTATATATTTTTATTCCTAAAAAGTTTTTTTTTTTTGAATTTTAAAGATTTTGTAAAAAAGTAATCCAATAAAAAAATTTTTTTCGCCCTGTTTATCAGGCTATGCATATCCGCTGAATGAACGCAAAGACTCCAGCTTAGCAAAAACTCGATGTGACCTAAGAAGGAGTTCTTCACTACGTTAAAATAGATAACAGAAAAGGACAAAAGTACTTTATTTAACTTTGTGTCTTCATTAGTAACCAGGTTAGGCAAAGTCTTAACAAAGGCGAATACCGGATCCGGTGGAACACTCCGCTGTGTTGGCTATGTCATGTTATCCGAATCGATGAAAATTTAGAGGAAGCAGGGAGGGAGGAGGAAGACCTCTTGGACCTGGCTGCACTTGGTATCACTAATCAGTGCCAATTGGCGAAAAGATGAAACGACGGCTGTGCTGTAGTGACTCAGCTATAATCGCAATAAGAAGGGCAAAATATTTAAGTCGAGATTAATAGATAGATAAATTATCTACGAGCGCAAAGTTATGACTGCCAACTGTGACGAAAGCACTAACGGTTTGCGTGATGACAATAGATATTTCGTCTTGTCTTCGATCACTACCAGACCCGTACGACTCGATTCTTGAACGAGTCTGGCGAAAGCCGAACTAACAGTATGCTTGTTGAGGTCGATGGTGCGTATTTTTGCAATATGTTAAAGTGCTTTGTTTGGAGACGGGTTGTGGCAGTCAATCATTCACTAGGATGAATAAGAAGACTCTTCGACTGATTATCGCTCCCACCACGAATCCGAAACCAAATTTCCGTTCCTTTGTATGACCATTGAAGTGCGTGTTATAATGATCTAGTCATTTCGGTCCTTGTTCTGTCAATAGAAATTTTTGGACGGAGCTTAACGAGAGCATCATTCGACTGGACAGCGTCCCATTTCCGGTTATTGCAAGTGCATGCCTTCAAATCGTGGTCCTTTAAACGTATGCAGTAGTCATCATAAAAAGTGGCTTTTATCATCTAAAGGGTTGTTTTCCTTATGATTGGAGCCGGTGTATGTGTGACGGATCTCAAGCTCTTAGCACAACCTCCATGCGTGAGCAGAGTTGCAGATTTAGAAGACATTTATATAGCGAGCCGTTTGCTTTAAGGTCGACGTCGCAGCCGCATCTCTGAGTAGCTTTCAGTATATGCTCACAGATGCAGGATTATGCCTCATTACGGCTGCTTCTTGTGTGTCGCTTCAAATGAAGATTTTAATTCGCCTTTTCTATATCTTTTATTGATGATGCAGGGGGAAGTAAAATTTCAGAACTATGTTCGATTAAATATTACTATAAACTATACTATACTATGGGTATAGAACTAGGCCGAATGGTTAGCATTGACTACTGCCATTCTGAAGACTTGACTTCGGACCAGGTTCGACCAATACCTAAAATTATGGAAAATTAATTTCCCTAACTGCGGACGCCCCTCTGCAGGGAGTGTCAAACCATCCGCGTGTAGTTCTGACATGAAATGAAAGCTCTTCATAAAAATCCATCAACCGGTAGGCGGCTTAGAATAAACTGTAAACACCAAGACTCACACCACAAACTGGAGAAGGAGCTCGGCAGAAAATCGCTTCAGTGGATATATGGAACCAGGTAAGAGAAAATTCTTCCCTCGCCGGAGAAGATCCTGTTTACGCATAGTTTTAGCCATACACACTAACAGATTAGGTGAGTTACTCTTACATTATCAGGGTATTTTCATCTTCCAGAAAGGTTTATTGCAAAGAGAAGCAACAAAATATCTTACAAACGGTAGGCTTGCGTTCATTTAGATTTCTGAAGATTATTGTAATCGAAGGTACAAATGCGTATAATTTATTTTTCAGCAAGGATAATAAGAATTGTTTATCCTTAGCAAAGGTTTTGTCATAAAATTTGGACAAAGAAAGAAAAAAAATTAAATAATTTAAATATGTATGCAAAAAAATATTTAGAAACAATAAAAATTATTCTTTTCTTAGGTCCCACCGAGACTTGAACTCGGATCGCTGGATTCAGAGTCCAGAGTGCTGGCCATTACACCATGGAACCAGTTAACGGTATATCTGTTATCAGTAAACTTTACTTGCAACATAAATGTAAATGAATAGATAACAGTGTATGGTGCATCGTTGCTGTTAACGGTAAAGGATGCAAGCAAAATAGGGTTGCCAACAATCAGTTGGGGTGGATAAATTTCAATTTTGTGTCGTTGTCATGTTTGTACAGTTGCAGTATTTGAATGCACAACGGCATTGAAACTACTCTTTCCATATTCCGCAATCCTTTATCCTTTATAATAAAAACACTTGATTTTTTTAGTGTTTGTTTAAACAACTTTTATTGAATGCTTTTGAGTATTTAAATATTTGTAATGTTAAATATAAGGAGTATTGAATACTTTAAATATTGAATGCAGTTGATTAACACTGTTATATTGAAGCTAAATAAACACTTTAAAAGTGTGTGTATATATGTATATAGCATGATAATTCATTTCAATTGGTTATTTATATGTATTTTTTATATGATTTTTTTATTGTAAAATATTTGCGCTCAATTATGCGCTACCGTAAATTCTTGAAAATGATTATTTTTAAAGTGCTCTCTATCTTTGCTGAATTTAATTCAAAGCAGTCGAAGTGAGCACAGCCACACCACGCTCATAGAAGCTATGTGGATCCTGACCAGCGGCTACCGCCAAATCAACGGTGAACAACAGCTCAGTGCGTGTGGAGTTCAAGTAAACCGGCAAAGTGAGTTTGCTAACGCGCGACTCAGCTGAAGCTCTGCAAAGAAAGTTAAATAAGGAAATTAATAAAATTTTTACAATAAATACACGAAGTAAATTCAATATCTTCTACTTACTTCACCCATTTGAGAATGGTTAGTGGCAAGTCCATCATAATTGTGGAAGCCAAGAGCAGCTCATTGTTCTTGCATTGTGCGCCTTGCAATTTCAAGCCCGTCACACCGAAGCTGCTATCCTTTTGATCGGGATTGACGCCCGACTCGGTGATGGTTACTTCCAATGCCAACTCTTCCAAAGACCAGCTGTTGGCCTGTGCAACACATTGGCGTGTAGCCGTGATGTAAGCTTCAGGGTTCAATAAACCGCCCAGCCAAACAGGGAAAGTCTGTAGACAGCAAAATAGATTGCATTTAAAAGAAAATAATCTATGAAAATTTTATTAGTCCCACACACCTGCAACTCCTTAGCGCCTGCTTGCGAGACCAACTTCGACACCTTCTGCAATTGCTGTACACGATTGCTGAAATCGGTAATCCATTGGATGACAGTACAGCCGACTGGCACTGTGTAACGTTTCCAACCTTTCGGTATGATGCCACGCACCAACTCGGACAACATGGAACGATGGTGATTGGTCTGCTTCTTTTCACCTTGACAAATCAAGACGACATCTTGCAAATCCGAAATGACCGTTGTCAACAATTTAGCGCCGGAAGTAACTTCACGTTCAAAGTACCTATATAATGGATCCTTGATATTCTCCACAGTACGCTTGAGCACAGGCAAATTTTTGGGCAATAGCTCGAGCCAAGCTGTGGCCGAGTTATGCAAGGTCTTCATCCACGATGGGCGACCATCTTCTTGGCGCGATGCACTTGCATTAGCCGCTTCGGCATGCTCCTCTACACTGTAGGCTAACTCATCGTCATCCTCCAGCTGTTGCATTTTCAACAACTTGCTCACCAAATCTGTGCCACGTGTCGTTAGCAACACCTTCTCCGCATTGTTGGGCAATCCCAGCCATGAAGGCGTCTGGCGGTCCGACAAATTCTCAATCCACTTCAGGAAGTGATCGCGCCGCGTACCATCGGGCATGGTGATATGTCGCTGACCGCCGGCGCCGCCATCAACATTGGCCACAAGCGCGAAATCGCTTTCGAAACTGCGCGCCGTAAATAATTTCTTCAAGAATGACGTCAGCAAACGCTGATCAAAGTCATTGTCAATTTTACCGCCGTAGATGGATTGCGACAACAGTGTCACCAACGCGTCCCATGGCACCTTCTCCGGCGGCAAATTGGTGCGACCCATTGCAGTCGTGTCGATCCAGGTGTCCAGCGTGTCGCACGCGACGCGCAAATCCGACTCATTGAACTCGTACTTCTTAGCCCAGCCAAGTGGCACGTAGCGCAGACGTTCCTGTACGATGGCATGGAACCATGCCAACAAGAAATAGAGACGTGCACGTTCGCTGGGTGTTTTCATCATGCGCGCCACCGGCACCGTCGAGAATGTTCGCAACAAGTTGGCGCGTATGCCTGGCGGCGGTTCGAAAACGAAAATGCGGCCAGCGCGCAACAAGTTGACTGGCACCTTGGGATTGATCTCCATGGTGAGGAATAATCTGAAGCCCGAATGTGGCTGCAGCGAATGTAATTTCTTCTCCAATTGCACCAGCCATTGTGGCGCCAAGTGTACGTTCTTCAGCAGCACCCAGCGACCGCTCTTGCAGGCCATGTTGATGGCGCGCTCAGCCTGATTGAAACCCTCCGCCGAACCGATGGCAATGCTCGAAATTTGTTTATTCAATTCGGCAGCCAAATCGTCCACGCGACCGGAAGCATCAAAACCGGGCACTGAGCACAGCAATGCGGGCGTGTTGCAGTTCAACTGCTTCTCTACCACAGCGGCCAAATCCAATTCCTTTTCGGCATTCGGCATAAAATCTAGACCCAATACAGCATCGACCACTTTGTGTGCGGCGGCGATAACACGATCTGGTCGGAAGGCTTGTATCAATAGCAACTGATGTATAGAGCTGACAATTGGTGTGAGCGCCTTGGATTCATCCCATAATTGGGGCACACATTGTTCCGGTGAGCTCTGTTGCAGCCAAGCGCCGATTTCCGGCATTGACTTGAGTTTCTCAATCAACTTGCGGAAGATGGGCAGACGTGTTTGCAAACGGTTGACGCTCTCGATTTGTTCAGCAGTTAGACCATCGACTGGTATTGCGTTGGCGAGTAGACCCTCGCGACTACGCAAGAAGAAGTTGAATTCGGAATCCAAATTTTGTTCAGAAGTGCCCTTAAGATGTATCTTGCACATGAGCAAAGCAAATGTGAGGCGATCGTTGTGCAACATGCCGCGCGCTACACGCTCATAACAGACCTAGAAAGAGAGGTTGACATTTTATGCGTTTCTCATTTTAGTTAAGCATTAATTTTGATATTTATTATATACTAAACGAGTTCTCACCTGGAACAAATCCTTCGTAACGATACTCAAACGCTCCGAATACTCGGTCTTGCCATCCAGTTTTGTATTGTTGTAAAGCACAGTAGAGAATATGTCCAAGAACATCTTCAACGAGTACTGGTACAAGAAGTGCACCTGGTTCAAGCTATCCATGGTGAAGTAAATATTACTGCAAGCCACCGACAGTGGCAAATATTGTTGTGAGACCGTCTCAATCTCAGCGATAACCTTATCGGTCTCATCCACCTTCTGGTTGATATCGTACGCCTCCTTCTTCAGAGTCTCCAAAGTCGTAATTACAGAGTCATCATCGAGAATCTTACCCTTAGCATCATTCAAAGCTTGTAGCAGACTCTTCTCTAGTTGGCGCAAACGCAAACGGAATTCGCCTTGCAACTTCAATAGATCCGAACGTTTCTCATCGATATCGGGACGTTCAGCCTTCAATACTTGATTCAAACATTGCGACTGCAGGGAACTGCGTGTAACAGTGAAGTTGACAAAAGTGACACGTGAGCAAATATCTGGAGGGAACTCCACGGTTGGATCACGTGTAGACAAGAAAATAACGAATGAGGGCGACAAATCGATATCCTGATCGCCGAGTGTGATCAACACACGACCGCCAGTGCGACGGAGCTCACGATTGAGTACAGGATTCAAAATCGGATCGTAATTTTCAACATCTTGTACGAGCAGTGGATTACCGAAACGAAGTGCTGATTCCAAATTCTTACGGAATGAATCGTCCAAGAATGAAGTCTTTGTAATCTTCTTGCCAGCATATTCGTTAAGCAAGAAAGTAGTTGCCTGACCCGAAGGATCGATAATAAGTGGATAACGATTGAAACGCTTGAGCATAATAGCATTCTCAGTGCAGAGATCATCGGTTGGTAGGGCGTTCGCCTGCCAACGAAGGCGTTCATCGGGATTAGAAAGATATTCGGTGCGTGCCATATCAGAGCGATATTGTATATTGGCCGATTGCAAATGCTGACTCCAGGTGGTGAAGAGATTCAAACGATAATGCTGATCAAAGTAGCCACCTGTGGGGTAAATCAGTTGAAATTAGACAGATTTAATATTTTTTTTTTTTCATAAAAAGCCGCTTACCATAGGCAATAAATGCAGCCGATAGCAGGACATCACCAATAATGGTGGACATTTGTGACTTGAACGTCTCACTGGTGCACTCCCAACGCTCTCGTTCGATATTCAAACTCTTCAGCAGCGCAATTGAGCGATCAACCTTAGCCTGAACATTCTCCAAATCTGTTTTGATTGCCTGAGCTTGTGAAATGAGCTGTGCATACTCCTCTTTGTAGGCAGCAATACTACGTTCGAGCTGCTCAACCAGTTCCTTGGTCTCGTTAGCGCTCTGTAGATTCACATCGGCTTGCTCTTCGAGTGAACGCAATTCTTCACGCAGCGGTTCGACGCGTTTCAACATGTCAGCGTATTCAATCTAGAATTTCAATGAAATATAAACAAGTTTTTACTAAAAATCTTTGGTCTAATTACCTGTGCAATAGCCCATTTAACCATAGGACCACAAGCCATACTGGCGCGATTAACCTTCTCAAAATTATAATCCGGATTGCTGAGATACTTGTTCTTCATCTTTTCGCGCACCTCATCGCTGTATATTTCAAAAAAATTTTTAAATTAAAGAATAAAAAAAATCGATGTTAATTGGAGATTTTAACTAAACTTTCTCTACAAAGCATCTTTACAAAGTCGAAAAATCACCAATCAAAGTGTATGTTAAGCAAGCAAAGCATTTTTACTATTAATAGTATATGTAAATAAATAATAATTGAAATAAATAAAAGCCAAAACCAAAATGGGGAATTTTTCGCGCAATTAATTAGGACTTAAGCAATTCACGTTATGAAAATAATTATAAAACCAACACCGAATTTAATAAAATAAAATTAAATTAAATTAAATAAAATATGAAAATATATATCAAATATACAAGTCAAATTATGTAACACGAACCAAGCGTCAAATGTACTTCGCAACGCTAGAGCAAAAAAACTACGAAAACGCGTGTGATCCAATTGCAGTGGAGGAGGGAAGGACTTTAAAATTAAGTAAAAATTATATAACTACAACAAAAATAAAAATTTTTAATTCATTAAATAAAAATCAATAAAAAAAAAAGATCAGTTGAGTTGGCGCAATTGGTTGATAATAGTTTTTATTATGATTAACTGAAAAAAAGAAATTTTTATTAATATACATGTATTTTATTTATTTTACTTATTGTATGTATTTCTATATTCCATTTTGTTTTATTTTATTGATAAACATATGTATTGCTTTAATATTATTTTAATTTTTTAATTTTTATATTTAATTTTATAAATTTTAAATTTTGGTACTCTTTCATTATTTAATTTTTACTATTTTTTAATTTTTTCCTTTTTTTAATTTAAGTAACTTTTTTAATTTCTTTAATTTTTTTAATTGTTATATTTTATTATTTTTTTTATTATGTTAATCTTTTTAGTTTTTAAGTTTATTTTATTCTGTTCTAATTATTTTCATTTTATTTTATTTCTTATATTTCATTTCGCTTCAGTTAATTTCTTTTCAGTTTATTTTGCTTTTAATTTATTTTTAATTTAATTTTAATTTTAATATTTTTTTAATTTTTATTTTAATAATATTATTAATTTTTTTTACATTATTTTTTTTAATTTTATTTTTATTTTATATTTTTTTATTAGTATAATTTTATTTTCATTTTTTTATTTTGATATTATTTTTAGTTTTTATTTTGTTTTTAATATTGTTTTATTATTTATTTATTTTTTCATTATTTTTAATTTTATTTTTAATTTTTTTTAATAAAATTTTCGTTGTTATTTTGCTTTAATATTATATTCATTTTTTATTTTAATGTTATTTTTTTATTTTAAAATTATTTTTATATTTTTTTATTTCAATATTATTTTTTTTAATTTATTTACTTTTAGAACCAACATAAATTTACCAACCTAATGCACAACTCACTCAAAATAACAAAAAATAAATTAAAAAAAAAATGATAAAAACAACAAAAGGTGTAGAAACGAAACGTTAACTTATGAAATTATTATTGTTTTCATGCTTACGTTATATTTTCAGTATTGAAGTTAGATACAATTGAATTTATAAAGTTTTCTCTCATTATAACGGCACGAATTGATTTCCAGTCGGTCGCATTCTCACCCAGTAGCAGACAGATTGACTCTAGAGCCAATTTCACCACCGATGGTGGATTGGCCATGGTACGGACTTCAACGAGTTGTTGCTTACGTATCGATTTAACGGCTAAAGTGAATCAAGCGGGGTAGGCGGTGAATGTGTAGTGAGTATAAATGGTAGTAGTAATAGTAGTAGAACAAAAAATCATTACAAACTGACTCATTTAGTAAAAAAAATTTAACGAACAATTATTGCCTAAAAGTTATTTTAAAAGTAAGTTAAGAGACGATCTCTATTTTTTAGCTTCGGTGAACGGAGATTTGATTGTTGTTGTAGTTGCAAGTAGATTGCCATTCCAGCATCCGGCCTTTTTGCGTGCTCAATATACATACATATGTACATATGTAGTTCTTGTGCTTAAGATTAACATGATATTCACACGTTTTCAATGGGAATATATATGTATTTTGTTATTACCTAACCTAACCACAACCTGCAGACACGAACATTCATATCTACATACATAATTGTATACATAATTTAGTATATGTTAATATTGACTTGCTAAGAGTGTTGAATGTTGGTCGAACTGAGAGAAATTTATAAAAATTATTTGGTTATTTGATATTACGGGTTTTTGGTAACTTAAAAAGACACTCTTAACAAGCCAGTATCAAAAGTTGGTTAAATACAATGTGATAATACGTTAACAAAATGTATGTATGTATGTAGTAAGTATTAATAAGCTTATATTAAATTAAGTTTTTTTAAGAGCTTACGTTAGACCTTTAAATTACAGAAATTTACTTATTTATTATTAGATTTACAATTATATTAGAAATAAGTAAACACACATAATTAACGGTAAATATTAAAATTAATAATTATGTTTAGGTGCTGAGTAGATGCAACAAAATGTGATGTATGCATTATTTGTTCATAAAAAAATGGGACGATGCAAAAATAATAAAATTAAATATTTAAGTGAAAATCAGAAAATAGAATTCAACAAATCCCAGCGCAGTTATTTAAATTATATTTATCTTCTTGAAATATATTTTTATAGCTACAAAAAAATATGTACGAGTATGTATGTAAATTTATCACAACAGCCATGTGAAGCCAATTCGGATGGTTTGTTTCTCAGGGTGAAATGAGTGAGGTTGTGTTGAAAATGTTAAAATTGGAGTAATTTTTGGTGGTTTGTTGTTGTTTTGCTTTAAATGTGTACATGTATATATATATATATATATGTATATATGCAGGTAGGCGTGTGTGAGTGAAAATTTTGAATTTTGTTTGCTTAATATAATTATTTTAGATAAATTAGTTTACAGTAATATGTGTATGTATGTAATAAATATTTTTAAATCAGTAAAAAATAATATGTATTGCCGTACGTGATATTCTCTGTTTTCAAATTAACAATGGACGGTATAAAACTATCTTTGACAAGTATGCCACGTATCGCCTTCCAATCGGTGGCCGTCTCGCTTAGCAGCTCGCATACAGACTCCAATGCCAGCTTAACAACAGCCGGTGGATTGGCCATGGAACGCACCTCAGCCAAGTGTTTCTTTTTAATGGCGCTTACAGCTAAAGTGATATAATAAGGTGTTTGCGAAACAGTGTTGAATAAAATCAAATAAAAAGAAAATGTTAAATGTAAAAATCTAAATATAAAATTTCACCAGTGTGCAACCCTTTCTTAAAATATTGCACCGACATAGAATAAAGATGGAAAGATCTTTGTATTTAAAAATCTTTTCTAGACAAAAAAAATACATTTAAATATTTATTATAAACCTTAAAGGACTCCTTTAACGACTTGCTTAAAATAAACTTAAAAATTTTAGGCATAATTAAATATACAAGGAAACTATAAGTTCATATAAACTCTATTGCTTACGCGTTTACCTTGTTGCGCGTCGATTACAGCCGGTTCCACTTGTGCCAAATCGGCCATGACATATTTACGTTTTTCTTCAATTTTCACCGTCTGATCGGCTAAACGTATTTGTATCTCTTGCGATTGTATCTTCTTCTTCTCAGCCTCCTGTTGATCCTTAAACATCTGTTTCAACTTGGCATTTGCTGCCTCATTCTTCGCCTGTAATTCCTGCTTCTTAACAGCCAGGGATTTTTGCATCTCCTCTACTTGCTCCACAGTTTCGGCAATTTTATTAAGACCAACATTCAAATGCAATTGTTGTTCTTCCAAATCGCTACGTTTCTCATTGTACAATTTGACGAAGTGATGAATAAAGTCCAAATAGTGACGTGGTGTAACGGCCATTGTGCGGCCACCACGTTTTGCGAGACGTGAATTGGCTTGGTGGAGTGTCTGATGCACATAGACACAGCTGTTGATGACTGCATCGCGATGTGTTGGTTGCGCTGGCACTAAGGGGCACACAGACGGGAAGAAATCGGGCGCTACCCAGCTTTGTTTTTCCAAATCAACGCGTGTGGTGAATTCTTTGCCCACCTGGAAGAGTGCAGAATCGGACCAATCGCCGAACCAGTTGAGTACGCAACGATTGAAAAGCGCCGGCGAGGTTGCAGCGCGATCTTTGAGACCGTCAGTAGAGGGATTCATGGTGAACACGACATGCAAGTTGCGCATAACTTGTTGAGTAAACCTTTTAGGGATAAAATATATATAAAATAAAAGTACTGCAAAAGATATCATAAGCATGCATTACCATTTGTACAGCTCATCGCCGGAGTCCAACATCAAGCCCTCGCGCTGTGCACCCTCCTTACATTGTGTCATCAAAGTAGTGTATTCATCGCCCTCAAATAAACCGGGCACTTCACCGTTAGCCAACAGCGTATTCATACGTTCCAAGAAACCGGAGTCCAATACGTTCGATTCGTCCAAAATGAATGCAATCTTCTCATCTTTGCAACCCGAACGTCTGAGCACACAACGCAGATCCTCATCAAAATCTTCGCTGGTATATTTGTTATGCACCTTAATTTGGAAGATGGACAAGCCATTCATCCAAGCAACAAAACGTGAAAGCGTAGTTTTGCCTGCGCCGGAAACACCAATCAAGAGCAAATGACCCTGAGGCTGACGGAAGATACGATCGATGCGCAGAACATGTTCCAAAACTTCATCGAACAGTACAAGCGGCACATCGAGCTCCTCCTCGTAGAAGACCTTTAGACGTGCACGCACATAGTCGCGCAATTCTTCGCGATTCACCGGCACATAATCCTTCGATAACCAATTACTGTAGAGTATGGGACGTGTCAATGCCTCCTCTTGATTGATACCAGGGAAGTGTTTAAGTGCTACAATATCGATATTCTCATTGGTCCAGCGACGTTCTGATTCATCAACCAGTCTGTCTTGGAACAAGCGCAAAGCTTCATGCGCCCACAAACGCACCAAACCCTCCACTGGTAACGAATCAAGCGGACGTATAGCTTCGCAAATACCGCGCACCCAGCGCGTCATCTCACGGGGTGAGTACACGTAGTGTGGTTGCATGTCCTGGGTGAAGCGGTCTTGTGATGCCAAATAGAATTCTACCATTGCGTTAGTCAATGGTTCAGCGTAGCCACGCAGTGATGGCATCATACGTAACATAGCGCGTGAGAAGGTGCCATAGATTTGCTTGAGTGAAGTCTCACCAGGATAATCGACATAAATTATTGGCACGTGACGTAAGAAACGATGTGATAGGGGTTTACGGCCCGGATCTGTGGGGGGATTACAAGCGCCCACGAATTGTATGCGTTCGAGAGAAACCCAAGCTTGATCGCTGGCGCGATAGAAGCCTTTATGTTCGACCAATTGACGCAAGAACGAAATAACACGTTGTGTGCCGTAAGTGTCCATATCTGGCAAATTGATTTCATCGCAGAAGAGTACGAGCCACTTGCCAATCTAGATTTAATTTTAAATTATTAATTATAACTTAAAATATTATATTAAAAAAAAAGTTGAGTTTTGAGTTTACTGCATACCTGCACTGGGGACAGCACAACACCGTTTGGCGTCTTGCGATATTCGCAATAATGATCGAAAGTCTTAAGCAATAGCTCTGGTGTGGTGGCGGATGAAAAATTCAAGCCTACTACCTCCATGTCGGGCAGAGCACGCAATGCTGAGAACAATGTCATGGTCTTACCAGAACCAGGTGGACCACATAAGACTGTCACAAAAAATAAAAATAAAAATAAATTATTCACATGCAAATTTTTTGAGTATTCCACCACTAACCGAGTGGTTTATGTTCGGCCAGCCAAGTGTACAATAACGATTCGTGACGCACAGTGTCCAAAGTGGGCACAACAATGTCCGGTGATGCGACTTTGTGAGTTTCAACTTCAATAACGGGCACCTTATTCGACCATGGCACCCATTCGCCATTCATGCTGACCTCGTAATCAATTATAGGAGCACCAGCAGCGCCCGGTAACGGTATGGTAGTTACACTGCGCACAAAATCACCCAAATCAGTGCGTACTTTGAGCTTAGCATCGCCTGCAAAGGACCAAAGCACTGAATAAATAAGTGCTTTGGGTATATACTGTTCCAGTTGATCGGCGGAGCAAGGGAAATCGGGATGTTGCGCATTGAAGTTGAGTATATTTCTGAAAGGCGGAGATCAGTTTAAAAGGGTCTGTTTAGCAACGCTATTTATTTTTAAAAAGTTCTGCAATGCACTTACCTAGCAGCTTGATTAAGCATCGAGAAGAGCGAGCTAAGCGCACGCAAACGCGTAAAGTCCATAATATGCTCCTGATCCATGGCATACTCCAAACTGCGCACTACAATACCATCTGCTGAGAAGTATGGTTGCAACAACAATGCAATATCGCGTTGTACTTGCAGTGATGGCGACACCTCTTCCTCCTTATCTTTGTTCGAAGCCGGTTTAGCAACACCAACGAAATCTTCATCACCATCTTCCAATGGTATACTGCGCAAACGCGATAGATAATTCTCAAATATCATCTCAGTAGACAATACATCCTCAGAGAACCAAACCATACCACAACGCGACACAGTAGCGAGTGTGGCAAACTTCAAATCCTGTACTTCAAACATAATACGCACATTCGGTGGCAACGAAAGACGCTCACCATTTGGCAAGGTGAGCAATTTGTTGTCATCCAAAACGGAATTCAAATTCTCTACCCATTCAGGATCGACATCGCCATCGAAAATGATCCATTGACGCTTATTAATTTCACCACGCACATTGTCGATGATCTTACGCAAGACGTGTGTGAACAGACCATCGGTCCATTCGCGTGTATTCTGATCCATAACACCATAAAGTGCCTCCTTGGAAATAGCTTTAGGATCGATGACATGTGCAACGCCCTCCGTGCCCTCGAAACGCTCCAAAGCTTTGAGCAACGTGCGCCAGGCCGTGGATTTACCGGAACCCGACGGACCGACCATCATGAGACCGTGATTGAGATTGGAGATTTGGTATAGTTGTAGCACCTTTTTTGGGAGGGGGAGGGGGGAAACCGAATATTATTAGCATTTAAGCAGTGCTGACAGGAAATGGAAAATAGTGTATAGGAGCAAGTTTAAATTTTTGGGCTAATCTTTTCGGCAAGCAACAATAAGAATACTCAGGCATATCTCATTACAATTATAATTACAATTTCGACTATCTAAACTTGCTTGGTTGTTTTTTTTTTTTTTTGTATTTTAATTTCTTAATATAAGTATATAAAATGGGGGGTTAAATAAAGAAATTGGAGAGGGTTAAGCGTCTTACTTTTTCCACCCACGTTTCACCGAATCCTTGCGCATTCTGTTTTTAACACGTTATTCATTGTGATTTTCGGTAATTGCGCGTGAAAAGCAAGCATTAATTATATAAATATTAAAGTGCATACATTAGGTAATATGAATATTTGTCGTTAATATTTTTGAATCACTAAGTATACACATCAATTTACACAGAATACGATAATACGATAGTACGAATAGCGCAATCACAAATATTCGTGCGAAGGAGGTGCTCCAAAATAAGTTGGTTGCCAAAATAAAATCACAAATAATGTTGGAGATTTGAATAGAAAACAATTTAAATCACTCCTTCACAGCTTACACACGCTGCACCAACAACACATTATACTAAGAACGACAACAACTACTTTAGACTTATACTCTAACACACTCACCTTCTCCATCCAGGCAGCGCCTTGCTCATCACCTTCACCGCACACCAAATAGTCTTCTTGGCATACTTTACGTATTTCCTCCTTCAAACCCTTCATCTCGGCACGTGTGTAGCCCACGTTCGGGAATACATCGCTCAATAGTGAGAAGAGCAGCGGTATATCCTCAGCAACGAGTTTGGGCACCATTGTCTCACATACCGATTGTATAAGAATCTCCTGTTCAGGCAAGTTTTCAGCCACCGAGGCCTCATCAATATTCTCCTCGCCACGTTGACGCATTGTTTCCTTAATCTTCATAATGCGATCACGTTTCACATTACCAGCGGATATCAGCACCGACTTGAGTGCACGCAAACCGAAATCGTAATGGCTTTGATTGGACAACTGTTCATCGCAAAGTTTGAAGAACGGCACAATCTTGCAGGCCAACTTCTCAGCAGAGCGGAAACCTTGTGAGAACAACATCACCTCGGCAATGAGTTGACGATCGGGTGTGGTCATAGCCAACGAACGGAAGAGTTTCTTCAAGTTATCGGGCAAGTTGGAACGGCCAGCGTAACCTGGATTCATGGTAATGAAGATGGCCATATCGGGCGATACACGCACTTGCTTGCCAACCAATTCAACGGTAATACTCTCCTTATTGCTATCCATCTCATACTTGAGCGCTTCTTGTATAGTTTGAATTTGTTGTGAACAAGCTGAAAGCATACGTTCCTCCAAACGATTGAACTCATCGAAGCAACCCCAAGCGCCAACTTGACAGAGACCAACAAAAATACGACCCATAGCTTGGAAATCGAAGGTTTCGTCACAATTGAAGACCAAGACGAAACGTCCAAGTTGATTACCGAGCGCTTTAACGGACTCAGTTTTACCAGTACCAGCCGGACCGAAGGGCGAGCCACCGAGACGTGATTCCAAAGCTTGTGTCATGGTCAAATAACAACGATCAGTGAGTGGTGTCTGTACGAGGCGATCTTGTACCCCAAGATATTCGAAACCGTAGTAGAAACGGGCGTTGGCCATGTGTATGGTGAGTTGTTGAAGAACCTGTAAGAATTAAGGTATAGGGATATTATCGAGAGATAAATAAACAAAAGTGCCGCTCAATAGCAGTTTTAAGAGCTTCTGCGATCGCTAACGAGCACGGAAACGCGAGCATATAAAAAAAAAACAAAAACAAAACAAACATGAACTTTTGGCTCGAGAGCAGCTAATTTAGCTTACCTCCGTCTGGCGTGGATCGAAGTAGAAACGCATCTCGCAAAGCCATTGGAAGGATTTGGGGCTGGTAACGCCATTGGCAATCAAACGACGTGTAACGGTACGTTTGTGCACGAATTCATTGATCTAAAATATAAACCAACAAAGTTAAGTTAAAATCAAATGAATTATTCAAGAGCTACTCAAAAGCGTACCAAATGTTCCAATTTACGTCTGCGCAATGGCGGCTGCTCTTGCAATACAGAGTCAGCGAGTACATTCAATGTAGATTCTACGGTAGCCAAAACGCGTTGCATCGGCTTGGAATTATTGGTTTCGGAGGCTTGTTGTAAGGCTGCCTCCACATCCTCGGACCATAGAATTTGTGCAGCGAGTACAACAATTTGAGCTTGATACTTATCGCACCATTCCATATACTTCTGTTGATCAATTTGACCTTCACGGAATTGTTTAATGTCTTGCACAGCTTGAGCCAAGAGCGAGGCCAAAGTGAAACGCATTTGTTTCTCAACAAGCGAGAGCCATTCGTTGATTTTCGGATGTTCAACGGTGGAAACTGGATTGATAAATTTAACTTCTTCACCTTCGCGCGATGAAATACCCAAAATAACGGTGTTATCCTCATTCAACAATATAGCGGCCACACCGGCAAACATTTTCTTGAAGTGTTTTTGTAAGCGAGCGATATTCTTGCTATTACCAATAATCTCCAAGAGATCCTCATCACCCACAAAATAGAAACGTGGGAAGGAAGTGCGCTCACGCTCCAAATATTCGCCCAAAGCTTTTTGGATTTTACCCAAAAGATCAGCAAGTCGCTCCAGTGAACGTTGTACGGCTGGTATATTCAAAACGTCCATAACTTTGGGTGATTTCGTAACCTTCTTCATGAGACCCAAGAACTCTGAGCTGATACTTTGGAAACGTGAAGTCTCCACTGGTAAAAGTGTTTTAATATCAGCGCTACCCGAAAATATGCCCTCCAAGTAAACCCAGCGACGTTGTACATCAATCCACACATCGAATAGTGCATTAATACGATTCAATTTCTCTTCCCAGGTGAGAGCCTCCTCTTCGAAAACTTTATAGTATGGTGAGAGTTTCATGGCTGCCACCGAATTGATGTGCTCCTTAACTTTATTGAAGAGATCATCCCAACCACGTATGATACGGCATTTGTTTTGATAGTTGATCAAGTCAAGTTCATAGCTCTGCCAGGATTCGCGCACTTGTTTCAAGAACTCCTCCAACGCCATCTCACCTTGAGCCACTAGTATGATGTCCTTTACGACATTTTCATTCTTTTGCAAATTTACATCCCAAACTTGACCGAGTGTCAAATCGGAAATCACCCAATTAACACGTAACTGCTTGGTGAGTTGTTTCCAGTGACGTTCTTTGAGTGCATCCGACTTCAGTTCGACGATCAACATGTTCACCTTGATATAGCTCTGTATGAGTTTCTTCACATACTCATACGACTCGTACATGCGCAAACGTGCTGGCAACTCCTTCAGCTGTGTCATCATTGCCTCGAGTTGTTGACGCAATTTGCGTGGTTGTACAGACAACCAAGGTTTCTCTCTGTAAGCCAAAGGATATCAAAGTTTATTCTATGCCTAAAGTAACAGCAGTAAAACACCCACCTAGTCTCATCAATCTGTGTCCAAACCTTAGAAAGTTCACTCCAAACGCCACGCAAGTCCTGCAACTCTTCCAAAGCGACATTCATACGCTCCGAGCTGTTATTAGGTATAGCAGACTCCTGCAATTCGAGCGCCTCCTTGGCTTTGGCCACGTTATCACGCTCCTCCTTCAAACGTGAATACTTGGTCTCAAACAACTGCAGTTGTTGCAAAGCATCATCGGGTCGTATCTTGCCTCCAGTTGGCTTATTCTTCTCCCAGTCGTTCAAGAAGTCAATAGTACGCGTCTCCACGGCCTTATCTTCGGCTACAATTTTAGCTTGTAAGCTAGCCACTTGAGTTTGTATGGCTGTGTCTTTACGTTTAATGATTTCATTGAAGGCAGACCATTCACCCTCGATGTTATCGACATGCAACCAATTATTGGGGAATTGGAAACGCTGACGTTCGAGTATGCGTTGCGCTTCACGGAATACCTCGACTTGTTTGTCCCATGCGATCATGTCTTTCTTCAGTGATTGTACGTAAGTAATGAAGCTGACGGCATCGGATGTGCTGGCGGCCTCTGTTGTGGCGGAAAAACAATAAAATTGGAGGAAAAATTAACTTTGAGAATATATTGGAAGGCAGGGTATGCGTAAATGAACTGCGTAATTCTTATACAGAGAAGTTCTTTTGAACACTCAAACGGGGGTATTGGATTAACACCAGATATAACAGCGAGAAAGGCATTTCGGAGTGAGATTGAGAGTTATTTCGAGATTATAGGAAAGGAAGCGGGCGGAATTAAAGGAAGGGGGAATAAGCACCGGAAAGCGCTGGAAATATGGGGATTCGATAAGAGATTTTTTATAATTTTTAGACTGTTAAAGCTTATGATGTAGGGTAGGGGAAAGATATTATTTTCATTTTCTTCATTTCGGGTGAATAATTGTATGAGCTGCGGAACAACTTTTCCATATTCTGCATCGGAATCTCATTTAGTGGTGTAGCTTGTTAAATTTGGTGGAACAACACTGTGCTTCGCGTCTTGTTAACACTGTAATCTTTCAACCATTCCCAAGGCTAGTGATAGAACCCGCTTGCGTGTGTTTACTGATACCCCAGGTCCATTTGAGAATTGCACAGTGCGTGGCCCACATTAAAACCGCCCTACTATACTTACCAATACTTTGCATCTCCAAATCAGTACGCGATTTCGACACCTTCGAATGGAATGTAGTCATTTCGTTGCCAAGCAAAGTACCGAATTTGCCCAATGCTTCCTTATGCCAAGAATCATACTTCAAAGTGACCTTGGCCTGCACCTTAGCATAATCAATTACGATTGGTCCATAGGCGCGTCGGGTATCGGATGTATCGAAAGTTGTGCGTGATTTCTTTATATCATTCAAACATTTAATCCACAAATTGACATCTTCACCCAAACGACCATACAAAGTGTCGGCTTGCAAATCCCAAAGGCTCTGATAACGCAACCATTCCTCCACATAATTACGCACTTCACTAATTTTATTCTCAATCGAGCCATATGCGTTTTCCAAAATCAAGGCGTCAGGCAATTTAGTTAACAAATTGCGATAAGTGGGTGGCGCAAACTTGTCCAAACCAACTTGATAGCGTGTGCTTTGTAAACGCACCTGCGAGGTGACTATAGCTTGCCAAGCAAAAAGTTGTTGCATAATTTGGAAGCGTGCCTCCTCGATTGATGGATACAAATACATTTGCTGATTGGTAATGCGAATCTCATGTATAGCATTTTGAATCTGTGGTTCACCTCCCAACTTGTGTGTAGGCTGTGCTGGGGCATCAGTGTCCATGGAGAGATCCTTTTCTTTCTTGCCACCAGTCAAGGCTTCAGTCCAGGCTTGTATGCCCGCTTGTAGACGCATAGCTAATTTCTTCTCAACCTCCTCATCGAGACGTGTGACCCAAACGTTTAGGTTGGAATATTGTTTGAGTGATAAAGCATCGACAGCATGTTGAATTTTCGATAAGATTTCAGTGAAAGTGGCAGCGCTGTAGGGGCAAGTCTCCAGCGAACGCACATCCACGTCCAATTGTTCTTCGACCACGAGCAAATCCTCGACCTGAAGGGTGAGGTAGGAAATATATTTCAGTATGTTTTGTTGTTAAAAAATTACAAGATAACTTACCTTTTCCTGGAACTGTGTGACACAGTCGGATAGACGTAGAACATAAGGATCAAGCTTATAGGATTCCCAGACCAAGCCAATGCCTTCGGAAATCAAATTCAACACTTCTTTGCGCAAGCCAGCGACGAGGGGCACAATACTGGCGCGATCTTCGATCTAATAAGTAGAGGGTAAAGGTTACAAATGTGCATTTCAGTGTAAAAAATGCTAACAAAATTTGCTCTTCTGATGTACAAAGCATGCGTTTGAATTAACAATGTTAGGTGAACAATATTTTTGAGACTCTTAACGAGCATATTTATTGTACAATAATAAAATATACTAAGTGCAAATGATTTTAGTAACATGTAAAACTATATACTTTTTTTTGAGACATTGATTAACATTAACACTACCTTGAATACTGAATTTTGTGCTAAACTCCTATTATTTAGCTGCATGTAAGAGAGGGAGGTATTCGATATTGTTTGTTGAGAGAGAGTATAAATTCATTGCGCGTTTAGTGGTATATTTTTTAATAATATTATTATGTGTGTGAGTGTTAAAAAGTGATATTTGAGCGTAAGAAGCAATATTGAGAATTCAAATTTAAATAACTAAATTGAATGGTATCGAATGTAAACGAGCCTTAATCTAAATTAAACATTAAGCGGAAACAGATAAATTGAATTTTTTTTTATTAAAACTAAGAGTTCAAAATATCAATGCAGTAGAAATTAGCACAAAGAATTGCTAACATTTAGAAAATGAATAAATAAATTATTTCATTATGATGGTATGTAGAGGTGAGTTTACAAGCTGCACGCAATTCATTGTGCATGCGTGTGTTGTACTTGTCATGTAAGCAATGTTATAAGTGTACAAAACAATTATATATAATTAATTGAATAAGTATTTTATGCTAGTATTTTGTGTGGTAGTTTTACTGCTGCTATGAAAGTATGAGTGTAAAAATTGTGCTATGTGAATTACTTTATAAATGTATACCTTTTCTAAAGTGCGTTCGTATGTGCGCACGCTTTCAATCAATGAAATTGCATATGGATAGATCTGATTAGCCTGATGAGCTTTGTTGACAATCGTAAGTGGCACCCTGAAAGTTATAGGAAAGTTGAAAGTAAATTCCCCGAGATTTTTGTAACCCCAAATACTCACCTAAAGCCCAAATTCTTAATATTACGCACTTCCTTCGAGAGTGTAATGATTTCGGGCAAAAAGTTGACACGCAACTTCAAAACATTGCTGCGCCCAGTACGCGAACGTGCCGACTCAATTGTGAAGATACGTCCGGAATTACCGAAATTACGTTCTTGCACTTTACGTGCCCACTCCTGGAATACTTCGGAGATGGAGAGCTTGGCGCGAAAGCTGTCGCCATCAGCTTTAAGCTTCTGACCCTCCAAATGTGTTTCCCAGCCTTTGCCCAACACATCTTCAACGCGTTTCAAGTACATAGTCAATTGATTATCAATTTGACGCGCCCAAATGATGGAGCCGGCAACTGGTGGCAAATCACGTACAGTCGAGAGACGATAACTTTTGCTTTGTGGATATTGTACCTGATCAGAGGAGAAATTACATAAATTTATTATTTCTAAAATGAATTCAATTAAACGCACCTTGAATTTTTCATGTAAAGCATCGATATCATCCTTCACACGTTGTATGAGTTGAGTCTGATACTCGCGTATAGCGCCACGTATGTGTGGGCGCACGAAGAGCGCATTGAAGCGCGAGAAAATGCGAAACATTTCATTGGCATTCTTTGCAGTGCCAAGTTGATCGCGCAAATGTGCAGTTATGCGTGCTTCAACGCGATCTACAAATGGAGGAATTAAACAAAACTTTCAATACATGACATTCCTACGCTTAAACTCACCAATTTTCTCTTCATAACGCTTAACAGCGGCATCCCAAGCCTCCGAACCCTCCTTCGTTATATCCAAACAGTCTACTTCTTTGACATTCTCGTATGCTAAGTTCACCTCCTCGATAGCATTAGCATCGGCTGCTTCCAAGCTATACGGTTGCTTGGTTTCTACAGCATTAGCGTCATTATTTTGCGCTTGCTTAGTTGGGCGCAAAACGCGCAATATAACAGTACGCAGTTGTTCGTGCTGACGACGGAACTTGCGCATATGTTCCATGCGCGTTTGCAGTTTCTTATGTGCTGGCGATACGCGCCAAACCATTTTCAAATGTTCATCGCGCTTCTTTTTGACAATGTCACGCAGTAAACCTTGAAGTTTGTCATATTCATCATCCCAACAACTGAATATTTCAAAGCATTGATTCATAACACGCTCAAATTCATCAAAGGGTATATGCATGAGACGACGTGTGCCCAGCACTTTTAGTAGTTGTTGTGATAAATCACGCGAAATAGCCTCAATCAGTTTGAGACAACGCTGTATTGGATACTTGGTATTACGCACTTTGCGCAAATGCGAGAATATCTGCTGCACAGCTGGGCGTATCTTCTCCAACTCGGTAGCAGAGAGTAGATCATTAATTGGAAAGTCTTTCATGAGGGGATTGTAATCGGCAACCATAGCCAGGGCTTGCTTGAGACCGGTATCAGTATCAAAGGAAACCGTGGCATGGAAACGTTTGCCGTGTTTGAGTATGTCCAGTGTGAGTGCAACTTCTGGTGATTCACGTTTTTCCTGAATGCGATAAAGAGCGCGCTCCAAATTCAACCAGAAAGAGATTTCCTATTTGTACAAATTCAAAAATTATTAACAAATAACATTATGCTAGCAAACATTGTACTTTACCTGCAGAGCTGTGCCCGACGATGGATCACGATCCAATTTGGTAACTTTCTTGATCTCTTTAATCCAACGATTAACACCATTCTGCAGTTGATTGAGGAACGATGAATCCTCTACTTTATCACCGAAGTCTGCTACTTTTGCTTTACGATTTTCATCAGCACATTTTCGTATGACTGCGTTCACCGAAGTATGCGCTGTCAATGTAATTTCTGGTATGTCAATGTTTTGTTGAAGATGCAGCAGTCCCATCTCCAATTCGGCCAATTTCTTTTCAACAGATGGCGCCATTTTATCACCATCACGATCTGCACGTCCGGATTCCTTGACGTAAGACTTGAAGTAGGGTGCCAGAGATTTTGAAATAAACGCATGCAATGTCTCATAGGGTGAACCATCAGAGAAGTTAATCAAACGCAACTGTGAGTGTATTGATTTGTCAGCCTCAATCACAGCACCGCGTTTTATACAAGCCAAGGAAGCCATACGGCTGTTGGTGAAGTGGACGTCATTGCTTATTTGATAGTTGACGAATTCTTTCTCCTCTTCTCCTTCAGCGGGTTGCTCATTTTCATCTTCTAAACGAAAACAAACACTTTTTAAACTAAAATATTTACATTCATAGGGAAGACAGTTTATTATAAAGAAATCTTAATACTAATATATAACATTAAACCTCATTCCAATTTCAATCGGTATGTTCCTTAAGGTGAGATGAAGTGAGAAAAATTTACCATTTGCAAAATGAAATTTTAAAAAATAAATAAAAAATACTTTTCAGGTAATATTTGTCTGAAAACAAATGTTAATACGAGTATATAATTTATACTAATGTTCGGTGATGAAAGGAACATTCGAACACCTTTAAGAATCTCTTCTAGCACGTTCACAAAAACTGTCCAATTAATTCCCACAAAATATCACGGGTAGTCGTGCGAATATGAAGTTGTTTGCTTCTAATATTGGATGGAAATGAAATTGGTTCTATATACGACTATGGTAGATTATTTAGTTTTAAATATTTTTTTTAATTTTTCGTATGCATATATGTACATATTTTAGAATATTTTCCAAAAATCTGATGTTGACCCGACCAACAGACTCCATATTTCCTAGGTAATGATCGAAGGAATAAATCCGTTTGACAATAATTTCGACTTTTAGGCCACTTTGAATCGAGTAATTTCGAAAAAAAAAAGATTTTTTTGGAGCTGCCAAATATCTAATTTTTCGTATTTCTTTAATAGTTACCTGCATTCATCCAATATAATACTAAACACTTTTTTTTTATTTTCGGGTTTCAGATAACTTGAGGCAGAAATAACTTCCTAACCGCCAGACACAATTTTTTGGAGGCCCTTCTGAGAACAAGAGGTTCCAAAATTTTTTTATAATAAATCGTTTATTGTTAAACTACAATAAATTTTTCTATTAACATTTTTTTTATTAATTTATAGAATGAAATGCCTCTAAAAAAATTAAGTAAAATAGTATTTATTTTGTTTCGCTATCCACAAACAACCCCTTAACACCCGCTTATACGTAGGAGCAGCTACTGATCAAACGGATATTATTTTTTCATTCATTTAAAGAAGGTTTAACTGCAGATCAAGCTAAGTTTAATACTAGAATTATTGTAGAACAAAGTTTTGGCATTCTAAAGAATAAATAGAGATATGTAATTAAAAAAACGATCTTTAATAATTTTGTATTACATAACATTTGTGTAATGCAGGTAGATTTTGAAGCTTCAGTAACTTTTACGAATGGAGAGGGAAATTAGGGAAAGGGAACGAATTGTGTTGTCTGCATAAATAAACGTCTCTTTTCTAATTTGTAATTTATTAATAAAATATAATGTATTCGAGGCCAGAAAAAATAAATAAAACTTATATTATCTAAAAGAAATAAATAAACATTAGTCATTAAATATAAAAATGATTTTATTAGCATTAGTTAAACTGATTCATGTATATCATGGGCCCATAAACCACAAGAAATGCGCCGGTATTTATTCTTCTAATTTATGGAGTTGGTCAGGATTGTTTTGTAGCGATTTTTTTGTAGTTCTGTTCTAACTGTTTCCACTGCGACATCCAAGTTTTACCAACATGGAATCATGTCGGTTTGCTTTCATTTATACATATATACATATATTCTTTCCATTTTTTTTAAATTTATATAACGTAAAATAAGCGCACAAATCTCGATTGTAGGTTTTATTGTTTTGTTGTTGTGTTGTTTTTATTGTTACGTTGTTCTGTTGTGTTTATTATGTTGCTGTTGTATATATTTAAACAAAAATGCCCACGTTTGTATTCATCGAGAAAAATGTCAGAATTTCATTGTTGGTTGTGAAAATTTACAAATTTCAACCGACTGACACATAGTCAAAAAAAAAATTCCAGCTTCATTGATAAAGTTAAATTATAATTAAAAAATGCATATTCAGCACACCATAATAATTAATAGCCGATACATACACATATATTGAATATGATAAGAGGTGCGTTTTAATACGTATATATGAACGTATTCTCAGTTGCATGGGAGTTTCTATTTACACACTGTACAAATGTAAACAAAAACACAAAGCAGCTGATCAAAATTGACCTTCAGACGTTGTCTCAGCTGTTTTTTGTTTATCTTCAAAATACCACTACATTCAAACAAAAGCCGGTTAGGAAACGATGACGGTAGTAGATTTACCGAGTCGCTAAGTAGTAATAGACCGATCAATGTAGATGACTCATGCCAATATGACATCATGAGCAGATGTCAAACTAAGATTCTAACTATTGTAGATTATTGATTTTCATATTGATTTTTACCAATTGGATTTTGCGAAAATTTTACCAGGAAATGTGAATACTTATAAACGTATAAAACATAAAAATCTTTGCTTAAATAAGCACTTTACACAAAACGAAGAACTTCGAAATTCCATTTGATGTGCACTTACAGCTAAATGCACCACGGACGCCATTTTGTGCAATGGGCGTTGGTATCCAAAGCCCCAAATGGCGAAATAGGTGCCGTTAAACTTTAGAATTACCTTTTAAGCAATTCCGTTGAATGTACAAAGCTTGCACTTGCGGATCCGAAAGAAACTTTTTTATGCGTTCCTGATTATCGGGATCCTCTAGAGCAAGATTCAATGCCGGTGGCACTACATCCTCTTCAGGCAGTAAGATGGTCACTGCTTTACGTATATAATTGGCAAATGCACCATATTCGACGATGGTTACATTTACTACCGCCTCCACCGATGTATCGGCGTTCTCCAGCGAATCACCCATGATTTTATCGCTGGATTTTTCACTAAATATGTTTATATATATTTATTTGAAATAAATTTTGCAAGAGCTGATTTGATTACGTCCACAATTTACAGGCGAAAAAATACCAGTGCTGAAAAAAAGTGCTGCTAACGCTCCGAATGTCTTCGGGCTTAAGAAAAAGGGAAAATTTTTAAACGAAAGTTATGAATTAAAACTTGCGTAAGGACCTTTTCTTTAAACATACTATTTCAAACTAGTTCATTGTTATGTTATAAAATTATACGATCAAGTTCAAAACTTGATGGAAGTACATAAAGCTCGTATTGTTGATATCCTCTTTTCCCTGAAGTAAAAGGAAAGCAACACTACCATGAATCACCGTTCAGAGTTGCTTTCGAAGTTAGGTGGGCAAGTTTTTGGAATGCAAATGTGATTTAGAAAACATTTCATTAATAAAATTAAGAAAACTTTGCAATAGTAATGACAGTTTTGTTTGAAATTCATTTAAATGTATGCCTCTTTAGAAAACAAACACTGATATCGTTCTGAGTGAAAACGGTATTTGTATATTTAATGTGGCACCGTGTTAAGTTAACTATATCTATGCATATTTTTTTATTTAGATATTTTTTAATATTAATTGCTGTTAGCGCCCAATGCAAAATGGAAAATGCAGCGGAAGGCACTAATTTTGGTCGTTGTTATGGTTAATCATGTTTTGGAGAGATCAGTGATATACAGCAGTGAACAGTTAGACTATGAGATGTTGTGTTTTTATAATTAAAACGATTTAAAAACAAATTCCTCCTCTAATTTGTGAATTCCGTCTTGATGTTTCATAAACATATGGAGGGATTGCAACATTCTTTCAAACCGTTCCTGAGAGGCCGATGGATTTTATGTGCAGATTTTCAACCAATGTAAGAAATATGCTTAGAGGACTTAACATTCCCTCTCAATTAATACATTATTAAATTTATTAAAAAAGTTAAGCTGCTTATATATATAATTATGTTGGGCAGTATACTTGCTCAATTCATTAATTCTGTTTTACGTTGTTTTTACAGTGTACTGGGATTTTCTATTACAATATCAAGAATCAGCTGTAATAACAGCTGATATCGTTGCACGTTCATATGAAAACTGTGTCCAACAATTTATCATTTGCTGCATTTTTTTCTATTTCAACTGAAAATTATAAATTAAAAACAAAAAATGCAGCTTTTACTGCGTTCGGGATTGTTACAGCAGTTCAAGTATTTCCACGCTAAACGTTTCATAACACAAAGCGCGACCGGCATACAGGTAAAATACCAACGACAACTTCATCATTTTAAAATCTAATATGCACCTTATTATATAGGTTTCAGAGCTAACAAATGATGTAAAACATCAAATCGAATCCCATTGGCGTCCAAAAGTATCAGAAGGTGATTTCGATCCCAAAAGAGGCGATAAATTTTATGTGCTATCCATGTTCCCGTATCCTTCAGGTACATTGCATATGGGTCATGTACGAGTTTATGCAATAAGCGATACCGTAGCACGCTTTCATCGCATGTGTGGTAAAAATGTATTTCAACCTATTGGTTGGGATGCCTTTGGATTGCCGGCCGAAAATGCGGCGATACAACGCGGTGTAGAGCCGGCTGAGTGGACAGATTCAAATATTGCGCAAATGAAGCAGCAGCTCCAAGCTCTAAGCTGTTCATTTGATTGGAAGCATGAAATGTCAACTTGCTCACCAGAATATTATAAATGGACGCAGAAGTTATTTATGATGCTATACAATAGAGGACTAGCTTACCAAAATGAGGTTAATTAAAGTTTATTTTTCTTTTTTAAGTACACAGTTTTAATATTTAAATTTAATTAGATAATTATGTAACTTTTTGTAGGCTTTAGTGAATTGGGATCCCGTAGATAAAACTGTCCTGGCCGATGAACAAGTGGATGCCAATGGATGCTCGTGGCGCTCTGGTGCAAAAGTGCAGAAAAAGTTGTTAAAACAATGGTTCATACGCACAACTTCCTACGCTAAAGCGCTATTAGATGGTCTTGAGGATCCTATACTGCAAGATTGGCGTGACATCATCAACTTACAACGTCACTGGATTGGCGATTGCGATGGTTATGCATTTCAACTACTCACCTCAGCGACAAATTACTTGCGTATTTGGACAAAGTTTCCGGAACATTTAAAGGATCCAAATGCATTTATTGTTATTAAGCAAAATCATTACTTATCCAAATTGAATAATGCTTCTCGTCTAACTGTTGAAAATCCTTTTGCTGGCACTGTTATTCCAGTCATCTTTAGCGATCAAGCTGATTTTCCCGAGCACTGTGATGTTTACTTGGCTGCACCTAGCTTTCGTGAACGAGATAGAGAACTCCAAGAAGAGTTTGGACTCGCATTTTTCGCACACACAAATGCTTCTAACACATTAGATGCTAAAAGTGCACGGGAAGATGTTTTGGAAGCGGCCGAACGTTTGAAAATTGGTGGCTATCGCGTATCCTCCAAATTACAGGACTGGCTAATATCGCGCCAGCGCTACTGGGGTACACCCATACCAATTATACACTGTAAAAAATGTGGTTCTGTGCCTGTGCCTGAAGAGCAATTGCCTGTTATGCTTCCTGCAAAGCATCTGACTAATGCAGAACGTGAAGAGGCACTACGTTGCACTTGTCCCAATTGCGGTGATACAGATGCAAAGCGTGAAACCGATACTATGGATACATTTGTTGATAGCTCCTGGTATTACTTACGTTTCCTAGATCCGAGCTACACCAGGGATATGGTAAACAAGGACGTCGTAGACAAATGCATGCCAGTTGACTTATATATAGGCGGTAAAGAGCATGCAGTCTTGCATCTATACTATGCACGTTTTATCAATCACTTTCTGCACAGTTGTGGATTATCACCCACAACGGAACCCTTCTCACGTCTACTGGTACAGGGCATGGTTATGGGACGTTCATTTAGGATTAAGGGTTCAGGACGCTACGTCAAGGAAGATGAGGTGCTTATAACTGAAAAGAAATGAAAAATTAAATTTTGATTCTAATTTTTTTTGCAGGTAGAGATTGTGAATGCCAAAAAGAATCAAGCGCGTTTGAAGGAAACTAACGAGCCAGTGGTTATGACTTGGGAGAAAATGTCGAAATCCAAATTCAACGGTGTAGATCCAACCGAAATGTTTAGAGAATATGGCACCGACACTACACGCCTCATATCGTTGGCCGATGTGGCGCCGACCTCGCACAGAAATTGGTCCAGTGCCAGTAAATATACAAGGTTTACTACATTTTTGTAAAATATTTATATCACTTTGACCTTCGCAGCCTTCCCTGGCATACTCAATTGGCAAAAGCGTCTTTGGTTAACGTTGAGTGATTTTCATGCAGCGCGTACTGCTGTTAATGATGCCGAATTAGATAATGTTGATACCACAAGTGAAGCATTTCAAGCGGAAGACGATAAATTGTTTGATGCGCGTAATTTCTATGTGAAGGGTGCTACATTTAACTATCGCCATACACATCAATTGAGCGTGGCTATCTCCAAAATGCAGGGTCTAACCAATTCGCTGCGAGTAAGACATTGAAATTTTGTTAAAAAATTTATTTTTATTTATTTATCTTTTAATATTAAATAGCGCACGCCAAAACAAATTATTCGCCATAGTCCACAATATGAACGCGCTTTGGCTAGCCAGATTATAATGCTTGCACCTATGGCGCCGCATTTCGCTTCGGAGTTATGGTCAAAATTCGTTGCTGTACCGAATCGCTTGAACGCCTCAACGCACGAACTGCAATGGGAATGCGATGTGTTGGCACAACGTTGGCCAGACATCGATGCAGACTACAAGCTGGACTTGTCAATTAAAGTAACTATTTTTATTACATGCATTTTTATAAAACATGATATTAATTATGTGTTCGCTATGCTTTCACAGGTGAATGGCTTTGAAAATTGTGCCATAAAAATAGCACGTAATAATTTAGATAATATTACGCATAATGATGCAATGGACATTGCTTTCAATACCGCATCCGTTACTTCATATCTCACAGATAAAAAGATACGTACGACTAATTTTGTACTCTATCCGGGTATTGAGGCTATTCTAAATATTTATGTCGATAAAATTAAACAATCAACATCGCAAACATCAAGTTCTAATGAAGAGGTTTTTAACAAATAAGTTTTTATCAAAACTTGGAATAGTTTAGTTATGTTGTTGTAAATAGTTTTAAAAATATTAAGTGTTAATATTTACCTAAGCAATTCGATTTATGTGACAGAAACATAAATAAATAGATATATTTGCTAAGCGGTTTTTGTAATGTGTTTTAAGATTGTTGGCGCATTTTAAAAAATAAATATAATATGTATATTTCCGGTGGATTTCCATACTTGAAGCATATTTACATATGCTGAAATTAAAATAATGGTTGACGAATATGTTGTTGTGCTCTTACTATTTTAAGTTGATTTATTCTGTCACTTATTTTAATTAATAATTTTCTTATTTATTACATTAAAAAATGTTTTAATTTTATTTATTTTATTTTTTTCTAATTTTATTTAATTAATTAATTAAATATTTATATTGTTGTTGTTGTTATTATTGTTGTTGTAACCGCAAAAATATTCCCCAAAGTACTTTTTGGGGAATGTTGCGGGAGTGACAGTCTTTGACCGGATAAAACCCAGGGTGGTTCCGGAATAAAGACCCGACTGTCGCGGGAACTATTGGATTTTAGTCGTCTCTTACGGCAGGCATGCCTTACCGCGGGTAAATGTTTGTACCCCTAACCCGCATGGGCGGTATTTGGAAATAAATTTTTCTACTAATTGTTGACAGTTTCTATTTTCCTGCTTAATGTATTGACAATGAAGACTTCTATTCTATGTGTCTACGACGTCCTTGTTTACCTACGTTGTGGTAGAGCTTACTAAGGCCATGAGCGTAATGAAATCAATGAAAAGAACTTGAAAGCGAAAGTTCGCTGTTCGCCATAATTTTAAACTCAGTCGATGAGGCGATTGAACTTGTGCTTTGCAAAAAGACGTTTTTCGTAATCTAAGTTGAATGCTCCGTCAATTGTTATCAAGAGTTCAATGTGTATTTATGCTTTCGTCGAGATCATCTCAACAGACATCTACTTGAAGCCGCATCTCCACGCGGGAGCATTAGGTAGGAGATACCTGTCTAATGCGACTCCATACCGCCTACAACAACAACGGTGTACCGACAGGCTTTAAACGCCATTCGCCGAGAGTCCGTCTACAACTTCGTGACCTCTCTTAACATGAACGGCGTTCTAGGAATCCAAGCAGCAAGCATTGTAAATCAAGCGTTCGAACTGACCAAATAATATCTGGATGACACTTGACATCGGCAAGTCCAACTTATGCCTTGCGTGCAATGAGACCCCGCACGATATTAAGCACCTATGCGCATGCTCCTTAAACCCTTAACACCTCTTTCTCTCTGGTCCTAGCTCGTCGAAATAGCTCATTTGCTCTTCCTTAAACAAATTCGTTGACTTAGACTAGTTTCGCCTACTCCCAGGCGGAATTAATAAGCTATTACAATAACAATGGACTCAGATTAATCTGTATAATTTTTGTTTATGGGAAGGGTTCTTTATAAAGAGTAGTTCGAGTTGCTAAACTATGATTTGTTTCATCCAGTAGGGATATAATTATTCAAATGAGCAGCAGTTGTGGCTTAAGACTTATGGTACTCACTGTTATTTAACCAGAGCCTATAGAGATCTTAAGAAACTCTCCTTAAAATAAGGCAGAACTTGTTCTTTTTAATTTCTGCTGGATCAGTTTACGTGATTATACTCGGGCAATAATGATTTTACAGTTATTTGTTCAAGTTGCGGTAACCTAATCCGACCAAAGACACTCCTGCAACAATCCCGAATCTCCGACGTGCGGGTCAAAAACAGAAAGTCCTTTGTGAACAAGGACACACCACGTAAAATTCATCTCTGCACACTCTGGTTCTGTTAAATCAAGATTGAGCTTCGCGATATCGAAGTCGATGTATATCTAAATTCTCATGGTGTGGAACTTGTCGCCTTGAACTTTCGTACATCCAATTTTCTCCTGCATCATCTGGTGAACGCAGCTTCCTCTGATTGCTGTCCAATAAAAACAACAACAGAAAAAAATTAGTGTAATAATTTTCATATATTTTCATATAAATTGACCTACAAACTTTTTATATTTCTACATTCCATCAACTATAAGTGCTTTTGTATATGTATGTGTATGTATGTATATCGGTGTGCGCAATATCCTTTTTACACTATTTGCTAAATATGTACGTACGTATATGTGTAGTCTATAAACTAAATTCGCTTTCAATTGATCTATTACACGTATGTGTGTATGTGTGTATGTGTGTATGTATGTACGTGTGTGTATAACGGCATGTCTGTGGAAAATGCACAAAAACGACACCATCGCTATAGATCCTTCAGCCACAGGCGGCTCTTTAGAAATACATACAGACACTGCGACGTACACACGCACACACACACACACACACACACCCAGCACAGAATATTCCCACAAGGCTTCAAGCTGCATATCGACCTGCAGCTCATTCCAACAAGCGCCACACATGCCATTTGGCATTGTCACTTCATGATTTCATCCATTACGCTGTGCAAATATTCATCGAGATGCGAGTAATCGAGCAGCGCGTTGCGTACAATGTCCAAAAGCATACTGGGCCACAACGTTTCCAGCATGTGCACTTTCTCCACAGCATCCACGGTGTTCTCCAGCATGGTGGCAAAATGCAGGCGACCGCGTTCGCGCATACCAAGCGTATTTAGGTTGGCATTGGCGTTAGTGTGGGTGTTGGTGTGGGTGTTGCTGCCGCTGACGCCTACACTTGACTCGCTCACGGCATACGGCATTGCTTGCTGATGGTGTCCATTAATACCATTGTTATTGTTGTTGTTGTGACTGTTGTTGCTGTTATTATTACAATTAGTGTTGGCGGTGTTATTGGGCTTTTTCCACTGCAACGCCTCTTTGCCAACAACCAAGCGCAAGGATTTATTTTCTGGCTTCATTAGCCACTCTTTGGGCGACATTTTACTAGCCGTACATGTTTCGTCCAGCCGCAGTCGTGCTAGCAGCGGCTGTAACATTGACGCCGGCATTGCCCACAACACCAAATCGGAAAGACCCTCATAGAGTGCATTCGACGCCTCGATGTCCGCCTCCGTGACCGCAACACCATTGATCAGCTTAAGCCCCCAATGCGACAGTCGATAAATGGCATATTCACGCCACAAATCCTTTGTGGTTATTGTATTTCCCTCCGGATCGATGGTCAGCGTAGAGATGCCTTGCAGCTCGGCTAGTGCATTCAACTGACCAATAAACTCAATATTCGTTTCGCGAAAAACGAAATTTTCCGCATTTGGAAAGCGCGCCTTAACGCGCGCCAAAACGGTGGCGGCGATATTGTTGAAATTTATGTAGCTGAAATTGAGCGTGTGCACATCCTGCGCTTTCGCTGCATTCCACTGTTTGTCGATGTAACGCAAAGCACCTTGACCGTATACGTTCAGGTAGCGACCGCAAATCTCGATGAGATAGTCGCCGCCCTGTTCACGCTCCCGCTCGCGTTCACGGCTATCACGACCTTCTGCTTTGTTTGTCGTTGTGGCGCCACGTCCGCTCTGCGACGCATTGCTGTTATTTAGGCCGATTGGCGTCGGCGCCACTATGCACGTGACAGTTGGTTGGGCTGAGGCCTGGCCATTACATGATATCGTGTTGGTGTTGGCCGTCTTACTGCTGGCGCTGTTTGCTGTGCGCCTACCGCCGCACGACTCATTTCCGTTATTAGCTGCTGCGGTTGGTAAGCAGTTATTTGTACCTGCACAAGTAGAACTGGCGCCAACGATTGTCTGTGACCTCGTTAGACGGCGACATGTGGTGCGCGTTGTTGTGCCTACAAAGCCCACCGCGCCAACGCTGCCATTGCCGCCGTTTGTTTGTTGTGGCAGCGGTAGGGCAGCTATAGAGCTACTGTGTTCCTTAAAGCCCAAACTTAGTAAGCTCGCATGGTTGGTAATTTGCGCTGTGGTTGTGTTTAAAACAGTACTGTTCAATGAGGTTATTATTGTTGTTGTTGTTGAACCGTTGGACAGTTTTTGTTGCGGTAGCATTGTTTTGCTAGCATTAGAAGTGCGGTTGGGCTGATTTCCATGCATGAGCATTGATGAGCTACTGTCCAACGATGGACTGATGGACTCACCTACTCTCGTTCGGTGGCCGACTCCATTAGTAACGTCCGTCGCATGCGTATGCACTTGCGTTGGTAAATTGATGGCCTCGGCTGTGTCGCATGCCGTTTTTGGATTGGCATCATTTGTTGTTTGCTTTGCGGTAATTCCTTCCGCCAGCGTTACGAGCTCTGGGTTGTTGGTCACTTGTTCAGCATTTATGTTAGCCATTTGCTCGCGTCCCACCACTCCCAGGGTAGTGACTTTGTTAGAGGCCAGCTCAGTCTCGGGCTGCGCGGCCTCAATTGTTTGCTGCTTCAAATCGTTTGCCTTTTGCGTAGCATCAATTTTCCTCTTCACAATTGCATTGCCACTCCTGCATTCTTTGTTGTCGCCATGTCCACCACGCTCTCGTCCTCTTCGCTGTTGTTGGTGCTGTTGTCCAGCTGTCTTTTGATATTTATGTATGCGTGTGGTGCGTTGTTGTGTCGTTGTTAACTCGGTGGAGTCCTCATTGTCCGAGCTGAAGCAGCTGGACGAGGAATGAACATTGGGACCCAAACTCGAACCTGATGAGCCAGAAAGACGCGCGCTGTTGTTGTTGCTGGTGGATAATTCAACATTGTTGTTTCTGCCCCCGCCATGCCTGACATCATTGCTCACATTATGCGGTGGCTGCACATTATGTGCCTTTGTCGTTGGCTTCGGTGGTGCTGGTGGAAGTGGTTGTGTCCCTTCATCAGACGTATTAGGCTTGGTTGCCACTGCCTGCCCTGATTTAGTTGGCTGCGAATTTGTTTGCCCCTGTGTCTGCGTCTGTGGCTGTTCACTTTGTTGTTGTTCCCCTTCCCTTTGTTGTATGGGCGGCAATTTAATGAACTCTTGTAGCTCTGCTCCATACCCAACGGTCACAAGCCTTTCACCAGCCGCACCCATCCCTTCGCCAGCATCACCCACCGCCTCGTTCGATTCATTTATGCGTGCCAGTTCACTGGTTTTCGCAATACGTGGCGTTGTGGCGTGTGTTTGTAGCAACTGTTGTTGTTGTTGTTGTTGTTGTGATTTGTGTGTATGCTTTCGCTGCAGTGCACTCGTCTGCTGTAACGTCTGCTGTGACCTTAGCAACTCCCAGTTGGTGCGCGCATTCGAGATTACCTCCTCCCGCTTGATGCTCTGATAGGCGTCGGGTGTGAGGTTCGCATAATGCGTGTCTGAAATCTCCTTATTACGTCGCCAAGACATTGCGGCCGTACGCACCTGTTCGGTAATTGGCATTTGACTGAGCGTCTGTAGGCGTGGCAGGTAGCTTACGAGGAAGGAGACACAATCGCCTGCCAGCGAGACGGGATTATTCTCAATGGTCACCTCAAGCAGGTTGATCGCCTTTGCTATGGAAGCCATGTCGTCGACGCGATGCAACTCATTATGACAGAGCCACAGTCGCTCCAGCGCGGTGAGGTGCTCAAAGCCATTGATGCGCTTGATTTTGTTGCGCTTCAAATTGAGCTCACGCAGTTGTGTCAAACCGTTAAAATCATTAGCACCTATATGACGCAGTAGATTACCCGCCAAATTGAGCGACTTAAGCTCTTGCAGGCAGTTGAGCTTGTTGGCGATGCTGGCGATCTTATTGCCATGCAAATCGAGTACGCGTAAAGTCTGCTTTAGTGAGGCGAGCCCACTGATGTCGGTGAGTCGGTTTTTGCCCAGCAGTAGCACAGAGAGTGCTGGCAGGCCATCTAAATTACCTATTCGTTCGATTTGATTGTCGTAGAGGTCCAGGAAAACTAAACTTTGGAAGATCGTGCCGTAAGAAGCGACGAGTTGTCTATTCTTCACTGTAAGCTGTTGCAGCGGATCATCTTCGTCGAACTCGCTGCCGGCGAATGTGGTGCCATTTGTGTTTGAACATGACGGCGCCAAGCTGGACGAAGCTGTTGAATCGGTAGCGTTAGAAAGCGCGCCGCTAGCGCTAGTGGTCGAATCAAAACTTTGCAAACGCGCATCGGCAGCGGTAGCGCCGAGTTTAACACGCGCTAGCTGCGTTTTCAGCATATTTTGTTGAATGCTCTGCAAATGACGTGGTATATTTGTGACAAAGCTCTTGGAACGCTTAAGCGCAAAGCGAGTAGGTGTGGGCTGGCGTGTCATTGGCAACAGGGGCCCGTTGTAGTGAAGATTTTTCAAACCATTAACGCCACTGCCACCAGCGGCTAGACGTTGCTGCAGCAATTGCTGGTAAATTTGATGCGGCGCAGCATGGGGCAGCTGTTGTTGCAACTGCCCCAGGGGTGTAGGTGGCGGTGGTGGTGGTGTTAGCGTATTACCATTCAACTGTCGCGCATTCGTTGTGCCCAAAGCAAGTGAAAGCCGGACACCAGCGCCGGAAGTATTTGGTGCCAAGCCACCGGCGCGCCCATTGGTAGCGCGTTCATTTTGACGACGTACCGGTTTTGGCGAATGTACGCTATTATTCATTGTAAGCGAGTTGTGTTGCTCACCGCCAACATTTTCAACTGGCATATCCGGTGCATGACAACAATCCGCTTGTGCTGTGTCGCCACCACCTGATGGTGGGGGTGGTGAAGGTGTGGGCACCGGTGCTAATTGCGGCTCATCTTTCGGTATGTGAAAAATATTAATGAGATTGTGTTGCAAAGAGAGTAGACGCAATTGCGTTTCATGCTCGAATATCGGCAGTGCGCTCAGGCCGCGTCGATCATAATTAATGCGATCCGGTTGGTTTTCGCGCTCTTGGGCGGCACGTGTGATGCGACAAATTCCATTTGGTTGCACTGTAACAATAGCTGCACTACCTCCACCATTTACACTACTACTGCCACTACCAGCACTACCAGCGCCGCCACTCGTACACGCTCCCGTTGTGGCGTTGTGTTCGCTATTCAACAACATATTCGGTGACAGATTTCGATGCGCCGTTGTAGGGCGATTGGAGGCAGAAGAAGAGGTGGACTTCGAACGCTGACGCGTTACTATGGCACGCACTGGATTGCGACGCAGACGCGCGGCAATAGCCGCACGTGTGCTAGCGGCATTTGCTTTGGCAAGTTTACTATCGATAGCTGCACCCAAGAGAGGTGAGTTGAGTGCGTTCGCTGTATTTGAATGCGTTGCTACTTTGCGTTTGCTGCGGCTGCCACCGCCGCCACTACAGTTGGTCTGCGATGGGCCCGTGATGTGGCTCAGTGTGGTGTATGAGCGACCGAAGGTTCGTCGTAGTCGTGTGGTGAGACTAGGTATAAATGGCTCGATTTTTAGCAGTGACGTTTGAGGTATATGGGTTTGTGCAGCCGATTGTGCTGGTTGACTTGGTAGTTGCTGAGATGAAGTGGCAGTGGTGGCGTTGGAAGCAGCCGTCGGTGTGTGTGCATTTGGTAGTTTTGTAGTGGCAGCGTGCGTTGTTGATTTGGCAGTTTTATGTGTTTCTCCAGCTCCAGTTGTGGCTGTGCTGGGTGCAGCGGTAATGATAGCACGACACACACCACCACTGCCACCTCCAGTGCTCTCGCCACCGGCGCTGCTCGGACTCTTTATGTGCTCCTGTCGCGTCAATACGGCGTGCCGACTGCGTAACTTCGATATAGACATGACGCTCCGTTTTTTCGCCTATCGATACACCTTTGTGTTGAGCGCTGATTTGCCTTGCTCGCCGCAAATATATATTTACCAAAGTTCAGCCAACTCTTCATTGCGCTACAGAATAAATCTTAATAGCATAGTTCGCCCGTGCGTGCTCTGTCCAAATATTGTACTTGGAACTGCAATTGATTTGCCTGCTGGTGTTGTTTGTGGTAGCTGTTGCCGCCGCTCCTGCTCCTGCTAACTTTTATAGCACATTCACTTGCTCACTCTGAACTTGCGTTATTGCGCAACTTTGCTGACTGCCTTCCAAATAGTAATAACTCTCCGCTTGCGCTTTGCCAAACTTTCTGCAATAAAAATTTCCTGCAAAAACATTCAATTGGAATTTCGCATTTGCACAACGGTAACCCACCCACCTTTGCCGTAGTGGCACCTACGCTTCTCGAAATGCACACGCTTTAGTCGCTCGTCTTCACAATCTCCATTTCACTCGTTCGCTCACTGTTTGTTTGCTAGCTTGTTGATCGCAAGTTTTAATTTAGCATCCGATATCTTCTTCTTCTTCTTCTTCCTTTTCCTCTGCTTTTATTTGCCTTTGTCGTCAAATTTAAAATTTACTTCGCGAATACCTGTTATTCGAGCTCTGACTCGTCTTACGCATTCATTTCACAATTGTCTTTCCGGCGTGCGTGCGTTCTCCACTGTTACCCGACGCGCTGTCTTTATCAATGCGTTTGCAAGTATTTTCTGACTTTACTCAAATGCTCGCTCATTCGCTTGTATGGCTCGCAGCTCATGACATGTTGTGTTTTATTAGTTTGTTTATTGGGGTTATGTGCGGTTGCTATAGCCAATCTAAACCAAATTCGATACGTGGCCAAAAACAAAAATCAAACAGACGAAAACAGTCATTTCCATCATTTCCATACAGTGTTGCTGCCCGTCGCCAGCCCCACTTTAGCCTGTTCTACCTGCTTCGAAGTCAATCTGACAAATCCGTACAATTTCGTATTCATAGTCACGACAGTTTTCATCAATTTCCTAACTGTTTTCATTCCGCTTTTTCGGGTTATTACTTAATGTTGAACGTTGAATTGCTCTTGTTATTGCTGTGTCTCGAGGTACGCTCTATGTGCTATTTGCCTAGATACATATGACGAAGTAGCGATGTACAAGCATGGGGGGTGTGGAGGGTGAGGAATGATATTCGCATTTCGACTTGTTTGTAAATACCACAACAAGCTAACAGTTAGCTATGTGAAGGTGGCCTCTTGTTGGTGAGGGAGTGCGTACCCATACGAAAGCATGTGTTTATACATACATATATGCAAGGATATTGAATATACTCGTATGTGCTTGAAAAGGAAGGAATGTTCGAAAAACTAGTTCTCGAACAACTTACCCACAGCAGAGTTATAGTTAATGGCCCTCCTTGGATTTCCAATTAAACACAGGTTACAGGTGAGTCCGAATCGAAGAATACAAAATGAAATTCCCTATTGATTAAATGAACATATATGTAAGGTCTAGTGGATAGAGTAGCTCCATAAGTAAGAATAACTCAGGGAATGTTTCCACTTGATTTTATTGGTGATAGCTCGTAGGAATAAAGGCTGACATCACCGCCATCCGAGAGATGTGATTGAGGGGACAAAGTACGGAAGGAGGTGGGTCCTTGTGAAATTTACTGCAGCGGCCATATAAAGAATCACAAATTTAGTGCCGGATTCGTGGTGAGAGAGAGACCCGTCTACGAGTACTGACATTCACCACGGAGGATGAACGTCTCGCCACAATCAGCATCAAAACAAATTTTTAATATGTCTTTGATTTGCGCCAACACCCTAACTAAAGAGAAGGACGATGTGACCCAGGATACACTTGATAAGCGCCTGGAGTATACTCATGAGCATTGCCCCCACTTGGACTGGCGATTTGAACATCAAGGTGGGCAAAGAGGGTATCTTAGGCACAACTATCGAGTTGAGACTGATCGACTTCACCGTGAACCGAATATGGTTGTTTATAGTACTAGATTCCGGCACAATCACGGTGCTCCCAGCTCAGGCCATAAAAAGAAAAGGCCGCTTGCTATAAGGTCGTCAAACAACCACCAACCAACTAACCATAGCCAATGGACAAAGACTAGTTTACCCTAGTCAAATGAGCAGACGACGGAACGAGTAAAGAATTATGTCGGGAAGCGTTTTAAATTCAAGAATCTCAAATTTTAAAGATCTCGATACAGTTAATACTGTTGGTTACTATAAGATTTGTTGGTCACTGTACTTATATATATTTACGTCCTCAGCGGTGACGATTAAATCTTTCTTTGACGCTTTTTAGCCGCTGTAGCAATGCTCGGCAGAGGGCTTAACCTTCTCTGCTATGGGGTGACCGCAATTAGAAAATATAATTTTGTATGTTGGTTGAATCAGGACTCGAACAACCCTGGTCTTGCGAATGGCAGTTCGCAATGAAGCTTTTGATTACTATTAATTTACTATTGTAATTTTAAGGCTGGGTACTTATTGGATTCGTATAAAAATTGCGTGTGCCAGTGATGACATGTCTACGCGTATGTCTTTCAAATAGAAAGAATGTAAATATGTACGAGTATGTAAATATACATACATATATGAGTTCATATGTCCCATAATATCAATAAAGTCTATTACTAAGACAATAAAATAAATAATTTGAATATAATGATATATGTAGTCATAACATAGATATTATGTACATATGTACATTCATATATACTCAGAAATGTACCTGTATGAACATTTAAAGTAAAAATATTTCGGTTCATTGACACGTGTAAAAAAGTTGAGGGCAGATGACGGGGTTTTTAATGGATGCTTGAGTGACACGTGCATTGTCATTTATAGATATGTATACATTTGTGTAGTGAAAAGAAATGTAAGTCATTTTATTACAACAAGTGAAATAATGATATACCTATACATGACTATGTAATATACAAGGTGTGTTCAAAAAGTATCGCGAATTTTGAATTTTCGCTGGTTACGTATAATCGAATTTCGATTTTTTTTGGCGTTTTGTTGGTACTTTGAATGCTCACTTAATTGTTGACAGCTGCTTTGCTTGCATGTGTTTTGGATGGTCTTCGAATTTTACCTATTCAAAAAAATGGATCAAAGAACCTGTATCAAATTTTGTGTGCAAAACGAAATTAAGTGCGCGGATGCATTCCGAATGTTGACTGTGGCATACGGAGAAGCTACATTGGACCGAAGCAACGTTTATCGGTGGTATAAAATGTTCTCAGAAGGCCGAGAAGATGTGAACGACGAAGAGAGTGCCGGACGCCCGACCACTTCAACAACTGACGGAAAAAATTAATTGCAGGGGCGTGATGCATCATGAGCTCTTGCCACAGGGTAGAAGGGTCAATAAGGAATATTACCTGCAAGTTATGCGCAATTCGCGTGAAGCAATCCGCCAGAAATGCCCGGATTTGTGGAAGAACAAAAATTGGCTTTTGCACCACGATAACGCCCCTGCTCACACATCGTTGCTTGCGCGTGACTTTTTGGCCAAAAACAACACACTAATGATGCCGCAGCCACCCTGTTCCCCAGATCTGGCCTCCTGTGACTTTTTCTTGTTCCTTAAACTGAAGAGGCCCATAAAAGGACGACGTTACGCTACGATTGATGAGATAAAGACGGCATCGAAGGAGGAGCTGAACAAGATAAAAAAAATGATTTTTTGAAGTGCTTCGAAGATTGGAAAAACCGTTGGCACAAGTGTATAATATCTCATGGGGATTACTTTGAAGGAGACAAAATAGATTTTCATGAAAAAATAAATAATTTTTCAAAAAACACATAATTCGCGATATTTTTTGAACACACCTCGTACATATGTATGTATATATTATTCAGCGATTTTAGTTAAATAAATATTTTTATTAAATCCAACGTCATCTAAGCTGGAACTATAGAGCTCAGCAATTAGAGATGGACACCACCAAAAAGAGAATATGCTTAGCTTTACAATTTTTCATCGATGAAGGCAAAAACGCAAGTCAAGCAGCTGACAATGTGCAAAGTGCTTATGGTCCTGATACCGTATTAGTCTGACATGCACAATTCTGGTTTTATCGAACCCGTTTTGCTAATGTTGATGTAAAAATGCTCCACGATGTCTCCAAGCCAGGATTGACAGCCAGTGGGGTCTTGTCGACCCCTCTACTATGCTCTACTACGGCCAAACTCTTGATTCGGGTCTGTACTGTGAGCAATTGAAACGCCTGTAGAAAAAAATCGCCATGAAGCGTCCAGCCTCGGCCAACAGGTGGGGAAGTGTGTTTTATCAGGGCAACGCCAGAGCACATACTTCGTTAGTGACTCGGCGCAAGCTCCGAGGTAATGGTTGTGAGATTCTTTGGCATCCATCTTATAACACGGACCTCGCACCAGGTAATTACCATCTGTTCCTCTATATGGCGAATGATTTGGCTTGGTTAAAAATTGACCTCAAGAAAAGTCTGTGAAAATCAGAAATTTTTGCTGAGAGATAACGTGTTCCTATGAGAGAAGCATAATGACATTACCATAAAAAAACAAATAAAGCTCTCAATTTGACCCAAAAATCATTGGATTATTCTTTATCACATCCAATATAATTGGCGCTTGGTAAACACTGAAACGATTTTCGGCCGAACTCCTCTTCCAATTGATGGTTGATGATTTTGATTTTTTTTTCAACAAATGCAGGGATCTATAACTTAGTCTTAGCCGCATCCGAACTTGCATATATCGGCCACACGTCCACAGTTCTCTTCGTCATTTGCCCATTGAATAAATTTGCTAGTATAAAAGCTATGCTCTTATCGCACTTACCAAATCTTCACAAAATTCACTACAAACATATGTATGTATATGAATGTAAGCAAATAAATCCATTAGAAGATTGCGCAAGTACTTGTTTTATATACAAACGTACATACATATAAATTAAAATTAAATAAAATGCCTTACCACCTTCGGTCATTTATGCCTATGTATAGATGCATACGTATATGTATGTATGTTTACCATAGAAATGAATTTTGTTAGAATTTGCATTTGCCTAGAAAGAATATTTGTATGTATGCATGTGGGCACTTTAATATGTATATGTGTATTTTTTTATACAAATTTGTTAGTGATTGTGCATCAAATATGGGTCATGGCCATCGTTGGAAAAAAGGCAGTTTGCAATTTGGAGGATGATGATGATGAGCATTTAAAGCTGATAGCACTTGAGGCCATTAACAAATGAGACACTTGGCACAGATTTGCATTATAAATGAAGTGTGTGGATTGTTAGTAGTTATGTTGAATGTTGCATGTACAAAGTTGCATACTCGTATGTAGATATTTGTAGTCAAATATTTTTGTTAAATGATTGTGCAGGTAAAATAGTTTGCGTTCTTAAATTAATTTATCATTTAAGAATTCTTTTTTTTAAATACGGCAAAAGACAAATCGTTCTACTAAAGTGGATTTGAAATGTTAGAGCGGCGCTGGAATGATTGTATATCTCTTGATGGTGATTATATATATAATTGGCTGTTTGGCGCCAATTGGAAATACCAGGTACAGCCAGGCCCTTCTCTACCTGGTCTTTCCAACGGAGTGGAAGGTCTTCCTCTTCCTCTGTAACCACCGGCGGGTGCTACATCGAAAACTTTCAAAGCTGGAGTATTCGCATCCATCCGGACCACAAGACCTAGCCAGCGTAGCCGCTGCTTCTTGATACGCTGAACTATATCAATGTCGCCGTATAACTCGTACAGCTCATCGTTCCATCGTCCGCGATATTCGCCGTAGTGAATGCGCAAAGGACCTTAAATCTTACGCAAACCATTCTCTCGAAAACTCACCAGATGTTGTCATCGTTCATGCTTCCGTACTATATAGTAGAACGGGTATGATGAGCGACTTGTAGAGTTTGGTTCTCGTTCATCGGGAAAGGACTTTACTTTTCAATTGCCTACTTATTCCAAAGTAGCGCCTGTTGGAAAGAGATATTCTGCGCAGGATTTTAAGGCTGACATTATTATTGGCGTTGATGCTGGTTCCTAGATAGACGAAATTATCTACGACTTCAAAGTTATGACTGTCAACAGTGACTTGGGAGCCAAGTCGCCAATGCGATGACTGTTTGTTTGATGACAGAAGATATTTCGTCTTGCTTTTGTTCACTACCCATTCGCTTCTTTATCAAGCCTGGAGAAACTGCCGCTTTTGTTGAGACCCATAATGTCAATATCATCAGCGTACGCCAGTGGTTGTACACTCTTATAGAAGATTGTACCTTCCCTATTCAGCTGTGCGGTTCTTATTTTCCTCCAGCAGCAAATTGCAG